GGCCCAGCCACAAGGTCACAGGCTGGCCCAATAGTTTTCACTTACTCCACTAGATGTGAAAGATGGAATCCATATTAAAATGATCAATGGAGTATTTTGTGTTCTTTTGTTTAATACTAGGTCTTTGAAATCTAGTGTGATTTGTTTACATATATATACACAATTAAAAACATTGCCAGAGGGCATGTGCACTCACCAGAGAGATACAGAGACAGAGAAGGAGGAGAAAGTACCCCAGTAGGATCTGGCCACGTTGCAATCCCGTCTCCATTTCTCCATCCTCTTTGGATTTTGGGCATGCATGCATGCAAAATACAGGCTGGCTCTGTATTTTGTTTTAAGATAAAAGGGATTGTGTGAGGGGTACTCTGTACACAGTGGTTAAACACTGCGTAGAAGAAGCCAGGTCCCATATGACTGACCAGGGTTGAGTCCCAGCCTTGGCAGCTTGAAAAACATGTTATGCACACATGCATGCCTAGGATCCCAAAGGCATGGGAAATCGGAGGGGAAAGGACCGTGGCACGGTCAGGCCCCCTGGAGGGTGCTGCCTCTGTATAACGTGCGCACACCCTGGTGTTAAACGGGTTGTGCTGTGTGGATTGTTACGTAGCCCAGTTTATTCTTTCTCTTTTTCTTTTTTTTGAAATAAGGTACATTCTTCTTCTTTTTTTTTAACATTTATTTCATTTTATTTGTTGTTATTATTCAGTTTGACCAGAGAGAGAAAGAAGGAGAGTGAGAAAGCAAGCCGCCAGGTCTGGTACTCGAATGGCAGGTAGCCGTGTGGGAGTCCAGAGCCTTAACACCACACCACACCACCTGCCAGCCTTTCGTTTTCTTTAAAGAATTATTCACTTCATTTAATTTATCATTATTACTATTATTTTAAATTTCGTTACAGAATACACGCACTTGTCAGAGAGAGAAAGTGAGAAAACAAGCTGCCAGGCCCACGACTCGAACTGTAGTCAGCCGTGTGGGAGCCCAGCACTCCAACTACCGTGCCAAGTGCTGGCCCCGCACAGACCCTATCTTAGTATTATTATTATTAGCATCATTACTGAATTATTTATTTGGGATCAGCAGTTGGCGTAATGGCTATGTCGCTGGACTTCCATGTAGTCAACTGCAGTTCAAGTCCTGGACCCAGTGGCTTAAACTCAGCAAAAACCTCTCTAAAAAAAAAAAAAAAAAAAAAAAAAAAAAGAATAAAAGAATTATTTATTTAATTTTATTTATTATTATTTTTTAATTTAACCAGAGACAGAGAGAGAAAGTGAGAAAGCAAGCCGTCAGGCCCAGGGCTTAAACCGTGGTCAGCCACGTGGGGGTCCAGCTGCTTAACCACCACGCCACCTACCAGCCCCTATTTTATTATTATTATTATTTCTTAGAGAGGTATTTGCTATATGGCGTGTGCACTCTCTGAAGAGTCAGAGAGATGGGAAGTGAGAAATCGCCCCCCGGGGACATGGCTATGCCACAATCCCTTCTCCGCCATTCTCCTTGGGTTTTGGGACATGCATGCACACACGTCTGGTGTGAGTTTTAGGCCTCTGGGTCCAGGACCTAACCCACAATCGACTATGTGGAACTCCAGTGACGTAACCATTATGCCATCTGCTAGCCCCATGCCCTATTTTAAATAATGTTTTGAGAAGTTTTTGCTATAGGGCGCATGCGCTTGCCAGAAAGACAGAGATGGAGAGACAGAAAGCGAGAAATCACCCCCGGGGGATGGCCACGCCGCAATCCCTTCTCCTCCATTCTCCCCTCAGGATCTTGGGCACAAATGCACACACGCCCAGCGTAAGTTGAAGCCACTGGGTCCGGGACTTGAACCACTGTTGACTACATAGGAGCCTAGAGACATAGCCATTACGCCTTCTTCTGGTCTCTTAAATAACTTTTTAAAATAATTATTTATTTACTTTTATTTATTCATTCATTTATTTTCATTTGACCAGAGAAAGACAGTTAAACAGAGAGAAGGAAATTGAGAAAACAAGCCACCAGGTCTGGTACTTGAACCATGGTCAGCCATGTAGGAGTGCCCAGTGCCTTAACCACCACACCACCTGCTGCCCCCCCACTTTAATTTAAATCATGTGCATGGGACCAGCAGGTGGTGTGGTGGCTAAGGCACTGGGCTCCCACGTGGTTGACAGCAGTCTGCCAGACCCGGCAGTTGGCTTTCTCACTTTCCCTCTCTCTTTCTCTGGTCGAATTAAATAATAAATAAATAGATCTTTAAGAAAAAGCTCAAAGGAATTCTGTGTGCTTTGAGTTGCCTGCTCGTGATCATGGAGGCGAGGCTCCCAGCATACAAAGCAGACAGCGGTCCAGGTCCTAGCAGTTCGGACCTCGCTCCGTTTACTCGGTGTGGTGCACCAGCCGCTCTGTTCACTTCCAAGACGTTTTCCCCGCTCCCCGAGGAAACCCTTACCCACTGTGCCCTCCATAAGCCTCCCTTGTCCCCAGTCTTGGTCACCGCTCATCAGCCTTCTGTCCCTATGGACTCCCCTGTTACAGATATTTCGTGTAAGTGGGATGACAAAGTAGGTGGCCTTTTGTATCTGGCTTCTTTCTCTCTTTTAAAAATTTCCTTATTTCTAGACAGAGAGATACCAGCACCCCCCTCCCCAAGTCCTGTGCCACAGTCCTCCCAACGCCTTCCCAGCCGGCCAGGATCACAGACACGCATGTGCGTGCCCAGCTTGTAAAGCTCGACCTGGGAACCTGACCCCAGTCTTCCCTGTGGCCTCCGGCACCGCTGGGCCGGGCGTCGGGCTCCTTCCGCTTCACGTGGTGTTCTGTGGTTTGTCCACATTGTCCCTGTGCCAGTGCTTCATCCCTCTTTGTGGCCAGTAGCGCCCCACACCCCAGCGTAAGGGTGGACCACGCCGATGGTTATTCTGGCTGTCGTGAACGGTGTATCTCAATCTAAAAACAGCACATGGCGTCAGAGGACGGCCCTTGGTTTTGTAGCCATTTCCCTGCTGGTGACTGGGTCCTCGCCAGTTCCTCGTTACTGTAAATACAACTGCCGTGGCCGTGTGCAGCTGGGGCCTGCCTCTCCATGTGCCCGTGTCTGAATGTCTTTCTCTTTCACCTGTTATTTGCACAAAGCACGTGCCTTTGCCAGAGAGAGAGAGCCCCTGTGAGGCCTGGTGACTTCGCAGTCCCTTCTCCCGCATCTCTGTCTTGTCAGGATTTGGGACACATGCGCATGCCAGGCATAGTTTTCAAACTGCTGGGTCCAGGATTTGAACCACAGTCGGCCCTGTGGGAGCTGGCTCTCTTAAGCACTAGGCTACAGGCCAGCACATGCCCGAGTCTCTCCTCAAGTCTAAACGGCAGGATCCTGAATGCAGGCATCTGAGTGATCGCTCAGGACTCTCCAGCCCTCCGCAGTGTCTGCTGAGAGCTCTGCACCTTCTTTTGGTTTTCAGAGCCTTTTAGAAGCACACTGGCATTTCGTCTGAGTAGCAGCCCGTGAAACGGAGGGCTGGGCTTTCCGTGCAGATGGAAGGACGCCTGCACTCGCTGTGGAGAGCACCCCAGAGGTCTGGTTCCACCCCTGGCATTGTGGCCACCTTCTCCCCTTTCAGTCTCAGCTCAAGCCGCTGACACCGGGAAGTGGAACGAAAGCCAGGGTTGCTCCAGAGTCCGGGGGGTCCTTTCTCCAGGTTCACAGGTTCCCCCACTTTGCTGGTTTTCCCTCCTGGCCTCTGCAGAGTGGGAGCCACCTCGCTCCAAGGTCTACTGGTGACCTGCATGCAGAGGGCAGGCAGTGAAGGCCATCAGGGCTTGGGCAGACGCCATCCACGTGTGGTTTCAGCTCCAGCTTTTGCAGACACACACCCATGCACACTCATGCACTCATGGAACGTTCTGGTTCTGTTCTGGACAGTTCACCCCAGTGGAGTCAGATAGTACGTGGCCTTTCGTGACCTGCTTCTTTCACACAGCATTATGTTTAAAAGGCCCGTGAATGCCGTGGCTCGTGTCGATGCTCCATCCTTTTTCCTGGCTGAGTACTATTCCATTGTGTGGGCAGACTGCATTGTCTTTATCCTTTCATTAATTGATGGGCATTGGGGGTTCCCGTTTGGGCTGTGCAGAATAAAGCTGCCCTGAATGTGTGTGTGTGGGTGTGTTCATGGACATGTGAGTTCAGTTCCCTGGCGAAGAGTGGATTTCCCCGAGGAGAACTGCTGAGTCATAAGGCAATTCCATGTTGAGCTTCCCGAGGAGCTGCCAGCCTGTTCTCCACGTGGCTGCGCTGTGCTGGGCTCAGCAGGGCAGAGGGTGCGAGTGCCCCATCCTCACCCGCGCTGTTAGGCCCGTCTTTCTTTCTTTTCTTTTTTTTTATTTTGGAGAGGTTTTCGCTATAGGGCGCACGTGCTCGCCAGAAAGACAGAGAGAGACAGAGAGACAGAAAGTGAGAACTCACCCCCGGGGGGATGGCCACGCTGCAATCCCTTCTCCTCCATTCTCCTCTCGGGATCTTGGGCACGCACGCACACGCGCCCGGCGTGAGTTTAAGTCCCTGTGTCTGGGACTTGAACTGTGGTCGGCTACATGGAAGTCCAGCGGCATAGCCATTATGCCAACTGCTGGTCCCAGGCCCGTCTTTCTAGTCACACCGTCTTGGCAGATGCCAGGTGCTACCTCATGGTGGTTTGCGTGTGGATTTCCGTTTCCCCGATGGTTGATGAGGCCAAGCCTCTTTTCCCTTGCTTATTGGCCACACACACAGATATCTTCTCTGTAGAAATGCTGCTTCGACGCCTTTGCCCATATCGTAATGGGGTGACATTTGAGCAAGGGGAGTCAGCCATGGAGAGGTCAGGTATTCTGGGCAGAGGGGACAGCAAGGGCAGACCTTGGAGGCATCACGGAACAGAGAGGAGGATGAGGCTGGCGAGGCCCGGGCCCGTGGGGTGACTTAGGCCGAGGGGGTGGGCTCACCTGCTGGCCCCTCTCACCCCCAGGCATGTCAGAGCGGGAGCGGCAGGTGATGAAGAAGCTGAAGGAGGTGGTGGACAAGCAGCGGGATGAGATCCGCGCCAAGGACAGGGAGCTCGGCCTGAAGAATGAGGATGTCGAGGCTGTGAGTGACGAGCCCCTGCCCCGCGTCCACCTCCCTGCCAGCCATGCCGGCAGGGCCTGGGCTTTCTACTCAGGAGGGGCCCCTTCCTTCCTCCGTCTCGTTCTGTGAGCTCACGGGGTGGGGATCCTGCCTGTGGCTTCCAAACAGCAGCCATGAGTGTACCCTCAGCCAGAGCCTGAGCAGGAGGGCACCTGGCACTGCAGAGTGACCTGGCGCCCTCATCCCCTGGGGAGGTCCCAAGGCCCCGTCAGCCTTTGCTGTGACCCGGAAGCTTTCTCCAGCCCAGCCCCTTCATGACCCTCGGAGAGCAGACTTAGCACGGCCCAAGCTGCTCCGAGAGCCCATATGGTACCTGCTTCATTTAGATAAAGATGCCCCATCCCAAGGCACGTACCTGCCATCTGTTGGGAAATTGTCATAATATATTAATTCTGACCTGACACTTTCCATCTGCCATAAAATTATCATAGTAAATATACAAATTGCCCGTCCCCGGTGTCAACAGAGGAATAAGAATGTGAACACAATTCAAACAAATGAAGCTGGTGCGGCGTGCACGGCACCCCTGCGGATGGCTGCTCTCGTGCAGTGCTCAGCCCAACCTCCTGCACGTGACAGCCCTGCACGATGGCCTCCCTCCCTCCGCAGCTGCAGCAGCAGCAGACCCGGCTGATGAAGATCAACCACGACCTTCGGCACCGGGTCACGGTGGTGGAGGCCCAGGGGAAGGCCCTGATTGAACAGAAAGTGGAGCTGGAGGCGGATCTGCAGACCAAGGAACAGGAGATGGGCAGCCTGCGGGCCGAGCTCGGGAAGCTGCGGGAGAGGCTGCAGGGCGAGCTCAGCCAAAACGGGGAAGAAGAGCCGGAGGTGAGTGGGGAGCCGGGTGCTGGGACTGGGAGGGGAGAGGTCGGCTGTGGGCCAGCTCACGGATACAGAGTTGCCTGTTTACCCCATTGTGTTTAAGAAACTGGGAGGTCCAGCGAGAATACACTGTTTTCCTGAGGACACACAGCCGGGTGAAGGCAGAATGGGCCTGGACCCCTGGACTCCTAGCAGTCAGGGTGTTCAGCTCAGTGCTGGCTACTGGGCACCTGCCATTCACGTACGTGTTCATTGTTCAAGTAACTGTTAACGGATGGCAGGTGAGGGCCACAGGTGAGCAGAATACAGAGCTGGTTTCTGTCCGGTGCTTCCCATTTATGGGAGATACACATAGCAGTTGCAGGAGACCATGGGACCCAGCAGGCCCACTCCCCGCCACACACTCAGAGAACTAGAAGCAAGCGTGCAAAAGACGTGACACGAATGTGCACGAACACCTCTTATGGGCGGGCAGGGAGGAGTGCCACGTGTCCATCTCCTAATGAACGGATGAGCACGCATGGTGTCCAGGGCGGAACGACAGTCAGCCATAAAGAGGGGGAAGCATGACATGTCGTAACGTGAATGAGCCTGGAAAACATCACGCCAGGGCCAGCCAGTGGTGTGGTGGCTAGGGAGGCTGGATCCACATGGCTGCCGGCACAGTTCGAGTCCGGGCCCTAGGAGCTTGAAAAACACACTGGGCGTGTGTGGGTGCGTACCCAAAATCCCGAGAAGAGACTGAAGAAGAGATTGTGGGGGTGCTTTCTCACTGGCCCTCCCTCTCTCTCTCTGTCTCTGGCAAGTGCATGTGCTCTATAGTAAATTTAAAAGAAAGGGAAAGAACACAGAATGCCAACCGCAGAAGGCCGTGCAGCCAATGCCTCCACTTCCGCGAAGTGTCCAGCATAAGCAGACCCTCCGAAACCAAGCAGATTGGCGGTGGGAGGGACTGGAGAGACGGGAGAATGGGGCGTGACTGCCCGTGGAGAGGCGGAAACATTCTGGAACTAGATGGGGGAGGACTGCGCGACTACACATGCCCTGAACTCTGTCCTCAAAACTGTGGATTTTATGGCATGTGAATGACATCTCAATTCAACAGAGAGACAGAGAGACAGAAAGCCAGAAATCACCCCTGGAGGGGATGGCACGCCGCAACCCCTTCTCCCCCATTCTCTGCTCAGGATTTTGGGCCCACGTGCGTATGTGCCCACCACGAGTTTTAAGCCACCTGGTCCAGAACTCAAACCACGGTCGGCTACGTGGAAGTCCAGCGACGACCATTACGCCATCTGCTGGTCCCGAACGTAGCATTTTAGCACTACTGTGTCCTGCCCCAGAAGCACATCTTTTTTAAAAAGCAATGCATGCTTACAGAGAGGCCGAGAGCAGGAGCCCCAGACCCGCAGGAGGTGCTGTGGGGTGTAGCTAACCACATGGGCTCGAGAACCAGACAGCCTGGGTGCGGGTCCCTGCAGCCCGGGAGAGGGGTAGAACTTCTCACCAAATAGCACCGTGCTGGCACTGTGTGGCTCAAGGACCTTACGGCCCAAGGCAGGGACACCGTGGGGCTCAAGGACCTTACGAGTCAAGGCAGGGACACCGTGGGGCTCAAGGACCTTACGGCCCAAGGCAGGGCTCAAGGACCTTACGGCCCAAGGCAGGGACAGACCTGGCACCAGACAGGCCGATGGGACTGTCTTAGTGATAAGAGATTGTCCTAACAGGGTTCCCTGGAAGCAGAGCTTGAGAAAAGGACTTTAGGCAAGGGGGTTATTTGGGAGATGATCCCAACTTCAGGGAGTGAGAAGGGAAGGAGGGAAAGTGGACTGGCGGGTCTGTCACTGAGGCCACCGCCTTGGGCAGTGGGAGCTCAGTCCACTGGGTCCTGGAGAAGCACACAGAACACTGCCCAGAGCTGACCGTCTGAAGGCCTGAAGCCTGGGGCATGTAACCACGGGCTCCTGCCCCCAGTTGGCTAGGGGTTACCCCCAGGGGTGAGAGCTCCCCATATTTCTCTGCAGATCACAGGGAACGAATGAAGGATACAGAGTGTGCTTGAGGTGACGGCCTGTTCATCCAGACAGAGCTGCCCACACGGCTGCTGCTAAAATACAGGGAGGCCCAGGGCGTGAGCTGGGCGCACGTGGCTCCTCAGATGTGCACCCGAGTCCTCCAGGACTGCAGGGAGTGGGCAGTTAGACCTGACGGGGTGACGTGACATTTCCCAGCCGGCTGTTCCTTACCCACGAGTCAGTGTGAGTGATGCCCCAGTGGACAGAAATGACCTCTTAACCAAGACGCCCGGGAAAGTCTCGGAGTCCTCTCATTGGCCACTCCTAAACCATCGCTACCAGGTCTAGAATATCATGTGGGCCCTTCCTGAGTCACGGGGTTCCCCCTGGTGGTGCTGATCCCAGCCACATGGACTGAGAGCGGGGATGGGGTCCTGCAGAGCCCACAGCCGGTGTCTGTGGTGCCTGAGAGCCAGGCCGACGGGCACACACAGCCCTGAGCAGCGGAGGTACGGGTCCGTTCACGGGTCGGGGGCAGGCGCGTGTAGGGCAGCTGCGTTTGGTGCAGGACAGTGTGAACAAGGAGGGAGTTTGTGCACACTGCCGGGGCCTTCGCAGTAATCCACGCTGCAGGATTCAGGCCAAGACGGAGTCTCCAGGCCAGGCTCAAGTGGTTGCCCCCTCCCAGACCGGCCCCTCTAATGCCTCAGGCCCACAGCTCAGGCCTGTGTCTTCCTGGCTGGTGGACCCCAGGTCACACTGGGGCCTGAGGACAGCACCCAGCCACGAGACTCCCACCCCGTTCCAGATCTCTTCAGCAAGGACGGGACATTTCACACCTCCTTGGCCTGGCTGCCTGTGGGTTTCAGCTTCCCTTCCTGGCCGCCGAGGGGGCGGGGGGGGGGGGGGGGGGCAGAGTCAAGTTGCAGTGATGACCACCCCGCTGAGCAGCTCTGCCTGTATCACACTCTGACAGCGTCACTGCTTTTGCTTCGTCCCTCGGAGCTGGTGACGTTCAGGACACTTGTCAATCAAGTCTGTAGGGAGCCGCGGTTTGGGTGGCTTCCACCCCTGCTGTCATGTGACCTGGGCCCATCTCCTGGGTGGCCGCTGTCCTCCCCTGAGAATGAAGGGAATGGAGGACTGGGAGTGGACGAGGGTATCAGGCCTGTCCTGTGGGTGGGAGGCCGGGGCTGGTGTAGGCCATCGGATGGGTTGGGCCAGAGACCAGGGCTGGTGCAGGCCATTCCAGGCAGGGGGACAGCATGAGCCAGACAGGGCCATGCAGCATGCGGCTGGGGGCTTAGTCCCAGGGCAAGAGTGGCCGGGGGAGAAGGGAGCTATGGGGGCTCCCAGCTAGAGAGGAATTGTTCTTAAATTGCCCCAGGGTGTCTGGGTTTCTCCTGGTTCACAGAATCCCTTCTGAACTGCCTCACTGTCATCTCCCGCGTGAGCTCCAGCAGACAGGCCTCCTTCTTCCTGTCTGTCTGTCTAGATAGATGATAGACAGATAGATACATACAGAGAGACAGAGAGACAGAGAGACCTGGGGACAGAAGGAGAGAGACAGCGCCTCCCGCGGGAGAGGGTCACTCTACGATCCTTTCTCCCTTTCTCCTTCGGGGACTTTCGGGACACGTGGCACACACCCAGCGTGGTTCCCAGGCTGCTGGGCGTGGGACCCAGCTGCCTTCACCGCCACACCCCGGCTGGCTTACCGTCTACATCTCCCTCCGTCCTCGCTGAGAGATGACCCGTGTGCCATGTACTCCAGCCGTGTAAAGTGTAGCTCCACAATTTCCGGTAAATCGTTATTTGGCACAGTCACCCCCGCCGCCGGCACTCACACCCCCTGGCGACCGCCTGTTCTGGACATCTCTGTCCACGGAATCACTAGACCTGCGGTTCTGGCTGGCTTCTCCCCCAGCAGGCTCCCTGGCTCATCCAGCAACTTGTCTTTTCTTTTTAAGAGCTTTTTGCTATAGGGCACGTGTGTTCACTGGAGACACAGGAAGACAGACAGAAAATGAGAAATCACCCGCTGGGGAGATGGCCACGGGCAGTCCCTTCTCCATTCTCTCGGGATTTGGGGCAGGCACGCACATGTGCCTGGCGTGAGTCTTAAGCCACCAGGTCTGGGACTCAAACCACAGTCAGCCATGTGGGGATTCCTCGAACTATGGTTGACCAGGTGGGAGTCCAGTGGTGTAACCGCTATGCCATCTGCCGGCCCCACAACCTTCGTGCCCACCTGACTCTGTTCCCAGTACTGAGCCCAGCACCCAGCAAGGCACGAAGTTCACGCTCAGGGCATGCTGGGCAGGTCCTAGACATCCAGGTGGCTCCCTGGTAAACCCGGGCAGGGAGGGGACGGGACGAGAGTACTGAGCGCCGCTACACTGGTCACTTGCTGGCTGTGGTCTCGGGTGGGGACCCAGTCTGAGTTTTGTGCTGTTGGGGGTTTTAGGAGCAGCCCCGGAGGCTCTGAGAGGGAGTCGGACACGGCCCCCGCAGCCACATCAGCAGGCAGCTGAAATCCTGTCCTGGGAAGGCAGGGCTCCCACGTTTCCTCCCCACGTCCTGGGGGCAGCGGATGCTGGGTGTCAGGTTCCTGGTGCATCTAGGTGCCTGCCCTGCTGCCGGCTGCTCTGAGCTGGCCCCAGCCTCCTGCCTAGGGGTTCATAGCCAGCGCACCCCTGTCCAGGCCCACCTCTGACTCTGTCACCTGACCTGTCCTGGTGGGTGCTCTCTCCTTGCAAGTGTCCTTTGCCAGAACAGCCCGAGCGGCTCCAGGATGTGAACGCCAAGGCCCTGCCCTCTGGAGGTGCCGAGTGCCCTGTGGTACTGTCCAGGCCTCCTCCAGCAGAGTCCCCTTCTCCCTGTGCTGTGGTTTCAGGGCAGCAGGTCCGGGTGTCTGTTCCCATCTCCCTTCCCCCATTGCAGAGCCTTTTTTTGGGGGGGGAGGCGCACACAAGTACAGATGCCTGGTGTGGTTTTGTTTGTTTGTTTGTTTGTTTTGAGAGAGGTTTTTGCTATAGGGTGCGTGCACGCGCCAGAAGGACAGAGAGAGACAGAGACAGAAAGCGAGAAGTCACCCCCCAGGGGGAATGGCCATGCAGCAATCCCTTCTCCTCCATTCACCTCTCGGGACCTTGGGCATGCACACACATGCGCCCAGTGTGAGTTTAAGCCACTGGGTCCAAGACTTGAACTGCGGTCGGCTACGTGGGAGTCCAGTGACTTAGCCATTATGCTAACTGCTGGTCCCCCTGGTGTGTTTTTCAAGCTTCCAGGTCCAGGACTCGAACCACATAATTGGCCATCTGGGATCCAGCTGCGGTAACAGCCGCCTCACAGATGACCCCTATTGCCGAGCTTTCCCACTGCCTTCCTAATCTTTGCTACCGCCGGTTTGATCATTGGTGGCTCACGGGAGTCGGGGACACTGCTCTCACTACCTCCCCACCATGACCGCGGCCACCAAAGTCTTGGCAGGCTGGTTTGGGAAAAAGTATGGAAAGTAGGCCAGGTGCCTGGAGTCCCAGCTACTCGGGAGGCTGGGGCAGGAGCATTGTGAGTTCAAGGGCAGCAAGGGCAACCTAGCAAGACCCTGTCCATCCCTGTCCTCCCAGAAAGGAAAAGCATACGCTTTGGTGAGCATGGAGGGCAGGGAGAGAATGGTGCACTGCTGTTGGGGACGGGCAGTGGTGCAGCCCCTGGGAAACAGAGCAGTGGCTCTTGAAAGGTTCCCGTAGGAGCCCTGGGACCCCGCGATAAAAGTTCCCATAGGACACCCTGTGACCCAGTGGTTCCACTGACAGGCGTATATCTGGGGAACCGGGGACAATAATTGTTGAACAATGAGTTCAACAAATACTTGTCCTGGGAGGGTCTGGCATCGCTGTTCGCAGTAGCTGAAAGGGGACCCCATCCAAATGGCCACTGGCTGATGAATGTATAAACTGGTGTGGCACAGAACACGATTCGGCCTAGATAGGGACGGGCACTAACACGTGCTACCACACAGGTGAGCCTTGAAAACGCATGCCAGTGGGGCCTGGTGGTTACAGCGCTGGATTCTCACATGGCCATCTATGGTTCAAGTCCCAGGCCTGGTAGCTTGCTTTCTCACTCTCCCTCTTTCTCTCTGGTGTACACACATGCCCTATAGCCAACTTTAAAAAATAACAATAAGTAAAATAATATCAATCGGGACCAGCAGTTGGCGTAATGGCTATGTTGCCGGACTTCCATGTAGTCGACCGCGGTTCAAGTCCTGGACCCGGTGGCCTAAACTCAAGTCGGGCGCATGCGCGTGTGTGCCCAAGATCCCAAGAGGAGAATGGAGGAGAAAGGATTGTGGTGTGTCCATCCCCCTGGGGGGTGATTTCTCGCTTTCTGTCCCTCTGTCTCTCTGTCTTTCTGGCGAGCGCACGTGCCCTATAGCAAAAACCTCTTTAAAAAATCATTTTAAAAATACATACCAAGAGAAAGTTGCAAGACACAGAAGGAAAATGCCATCTGATTCCGCTTACAGAGCTCTCTAGAATAGGCAGCGAGGGGTAGAGCCAGAGGTCACGGTGAGGGGCAATGAGGAGTGACAGTTTAACGAGTGCGGGGTTTCCTCCTGGGTGGTGACCGTGTGGCCGGCCTCGACAGGTGGGTACACAACGTCGTGACGCAGTCTAAATGCCACTGAATTGCACTGGGTCATCAGTAAAGTCATGACACATTTTTGCATAGAGAAACAGGAAAACACACGATGACTTTCCTGACGACGGACACTTTGCGAAGGTCGAAGTGGCGAGTTTTGATGCGAGGCGTATTTACCGTAATGTGGGTTTTCCCTCTCCCTATGCTGGAGTGCAGAGCGTGCATTCACGTGCACAGGAGAGACGGAGAGAGCTCTCCTAATGGGGCCTGCTCGTGCTGCAGTCCTTCCTCCAGTCCTCTGTCCCATCGGGATCCTGCACACGTGATGCGACCCACAAGTCCCCCAAGGTGCCGAGGCTGGGACTTGAACCCTGGTTAGCCGTGTGAGATCTGACATCTTCTGCGTGTTTAACCACTGTACTATGAGGCTGGCCACCACAATTAAAAACAAAGAAACAAACAAAAAAGGCTCTGGGTCAGCAGATGGCACGACTGAGGTGGTAGATTCCCAGTGGCTAACCTAGTTCAAGTCCCAGACCAAGCAGCTTGAAAATCACAACAGATAAATGGATACATAAATTAATTAATTAAAAAAAAAAAGAGGCTCTCTCGGGGCCAGCTCCGCGACATTAGTAACGCACCACTCAGGAGAAGCGCGATTCCACGTAATGACTGTGGTTCAGATCCGCGGCCTAGCCAGCCTGAAACACGCCAGGCACACAGGAGTGCCCAGTATCTGAAGGACTGAACGAGAAGGGTTGTGACCAGACCCCGTGGAGGGTGCTCCTCTCTCTCCCACGTCTCCATGTGCTGAGAATAAAGGGGGAAGTTAGAAAGATCCCCTCGTGGGCCAGCAGGTGGCATGGAGGTTAAGGCAGTTGGACCCCACATAGCCAACCACAGTCTGAGTCCCAGACTCAGTGGCTTGTAAAACTCACCCGGCGTGTGCGTGCGTGCCCAAAACCCTGAGAGGAGAGTGGAGAAGGGATTGTGACATGGCCACCCCCTAGGGGGTGATTTCTCACTTTCCCTCCCCCTCTTTCTCTCCATCTCTCCAGCGAGCTCATGTACCCTCTAGTGAAAACTGAAAACTGAAAAAAAAAAAGGATCCTTGCTATGGAAGACAGTGGGAAGGCAGGGCTCAGGTCTGTCTGGGGGCAGGTGACTTCGACGGTGCAGAAAGGAGTGCCGAGTGTGCGCCCCACTTCCGCCGAGGCCAACCCCAAACCTGGGAGTGGGGACCTGACTTCTAGGCAGCAGGGCTAGGCCCGCCCTGTCGGGAGCATTTACCACCCAATGTGAAGTGAAAGCAGACTCGAGATCGTGTGGGCCGGGAGCCTGGTCTCAGCGAGAACTTGGGAGGAGAACCAGCCAAGGGGGCTGCAGGTGGTCTGCGAGCTGGCGGCGTCAGAGGCGCGCTGTCCTCCCTGGACACCTCTTAACACGTGTCATGACACCCTGACGTGGGGGTGCCAGGACAGCTAGCCTGGCTATTGAAGGCGAACAGTGACAGGTGGCCAAGGCCGCCAGCTCCTGAGGGAAGCTGCTGAGCGCGAAGAGGCTGCCCACCCACGGGTGCTGAAAATAGCGCCCTCAAAGCTGCTCGCTGGAGGTGGAAAACGCGGGCTCTTCAGCTCAGGGCGGGTGCCGTGGTGGCCGCCAGTTCATTAGTGACACCTCCTCCTCCAGGTGGAACCCGGCGGAGAGGAGTGCATCTCAGATGCTGAGAAGGCAGCCATGGACCTCAAGGACCCCAACCGCCCCCGGTTCACACTGCAGGAGCTGCGGGACGTGCTGCAGGAGAGGAACGAGCTCAAGGCCAGGGTGTTCCTGCTGCAGGAGGAGCTGGCCTACTACAAGAGGTGCGGACCCCGCGGGCCGGCCTGAGCTGGTCCAGTTTGTGTGAGGCAGGCGTCCGGGTCCTTGTCCGGCACCCTCCCTGACCTAAAGCACTTGGATAGGAGTGGACAGTCCTCTGGTGAAATGCGGGCCCAGATGCGTTGTTTTGTCTTGTGTTGTTTCTAAAGAATTATTTGGTTTTATTTATTACTGTCATTTTTCACTTTGATCAGAGAGAGAGAGACAGAGGTAAAGTACGAAAGCAAGCCACCGGGTCCAGGACTTGAACCGTGGTCAACTCTGTGGGAGTCCAGCGCCTCAACCTATAGCAAAAACCTCTCAAAAAATTTTTTTTGTTTTATTTACTTATTTATTTTTAGAATTTGGTATAGGGCACATGTGCTCACTGGAAAGAGACAGAAAGCAAAAGCGAGGAGTGGCCATTCCACAATCCCTTCTCCATTCTCCTCTTGCGGTTTTGGGCACACAGGCACATGTGCCCAGCAAGTCTTTCATGTCACGGGGTCCAGGATTCAAACTGAGCCATCGGCCATGTGGGATCCAGCCACCTTAACCAGCATGCTGTCAGCTGGCCCAGGCCCCCAGATGCATTTTGTAATGTGGAACTTCTCAACTATTAGAACGAACTGGGTTATGTCTACCATGACCTTACCCAGCTGGTGGCTGGTGGTTTAGGCGCTGGATCCCACATGGCTGACTATGCAGTTTGAGTCCCAGACCCGTTGGCTTGAAATAAAAGCTGGTCGTGTGTGTGTGTGTGTGTGTGTGTGTGCCCAGAGTCCCAGAAGGAGGGTGGGATGGAGAAGGAATTGGCATGACTGTCCTGTGGGTGCATTCTCACTTTCCCTCTCTGTCTCCTATGGGTGCACTGCGCCCTCTGGAAAATTGAAGAGAGAAAGAGAAAAGTCACTGTTACCTGGCAGGTAAGAAAGATTCACTGGGGACCAGCAGATGGCACAATGGTTACGTCGCTGGACTCCCACGTAGTTGACAGCGGTTCAAGTCCTGGACCTGCCAGCTTAAAACTCACACTGTGTGCGTGTGTGTGTGTGTGTGTGTGTGTGTTTGTGTGTGTCCCCAGGATCCCGAGAGGGGAATGGAGGAGAAGGGATTTCTCACTTTCTGTCTCTGTCTCTCCAGTGAGCACATGTGCAATATAGCAAAAATATCTCTCAAAAAAAAAAGAAAGAAAGGTTTGCTGACTGAGAACCAGATGTTCAAAGATGGGAGAGAGGGGCTGGCAGGTGGCATGGTGCTTAAGGCGCTGGACTCCCACATGGCTGAGCACTGTTTGAGTCCCAGATCTGGCAGCTTGCTCCCTCACTTTCCCTTTCTCTCTCTCTGGTCAAATTAAAAAATAATGATAACAAACACCATCAAATAAATAAAAATTAAAAAAAAAAAAAAAAGATTTGTTAGGCAGAATACTCAAGAGGAGGAAAAAGACTAGAAAAGTGTAGAAGAGTCCCCTGTGAGTCTTTGTCTGGACACAACTATGCATGTGTATAGGGTGAAACTGCAAGCTGCCAGAAGATTTTAGATGAAAAAATAAAATTACCAGGAAGCTGTAAGATGAGTAACTTGCTAGCTTATACAGGGCTGGTAATTGTTCATGCTCTCAGCAGCCAGAGGAAGGAGAGGAAGGAGCCTGGGCAAATACGCGAAATATTTAAGACTCCACAAGGGTCCTGCCTTAGTAGTTGGGCTCAGTTTGCCACAAAATGAAGGCTACTCTTGTGAATGGAGGAATTTAAAATCAGTCTTGAAATGAGGGATTCACATACCATAGCCCACAGGGAACATTTGGCTGAGTCACTGTTTCTGGAAATGAATATTTATGAGGACACAGTCCAAGCTATTTGCTTACCTATCATCTATGGCCACTCAAAAGCTACAACAGCAGTGTCATGACAGAAATTTTTGGCTTAAAAAGTCTTAAATAGTTACTATTTAATTTTTTTGAAAGTTTGATTACACCTCCTCCAAATAATCAAATTAATTCTAAACTAAAGTCTGAAGAGGAAAAAAATAGAAGACTAATAATCCTTAAAGGAATACAACAAATTCCAGAATATAGTACCATAAAAATAATAATATCCTGTGCTAAATAAAAAGTTCCTAGATACAGAAAGAAAATATAATGAATATTGAGGGAAAAGATAAAAAGTGGGCAATAAGAACAGACTCAGAAATGACAAAGGTAGTAGAATTAACTATCACGGACATTAGAAGAGCTTCCATAGCTATGTGCCATATGCTAAGAATGTGAAAACGAATTTGAAGGTGAAAGGGGGAGAAATAGAAGATTTAAGGCAGGACAAATGAAACTCACAAAAGTGAAAGAGTAAAATATCTTAATTAAAATAAAATACAGTAAACACTGGTGAAGAAAAGATCAATGACGTTGAATACACAGCAATGGAGACTGTCCTCCCATCCCAAAACACACAAACACGCAGAATAATGAAAACGAAAAGTCTAACAATGCTCTTAGTGGGACAATGCCAAGAGTCTCATGTTTTAAGACTAACAAACCCAGATTTTCTTAATTTAATGTAACTATAAATTCACAGAGTGAAGAAACTCAATTAAGTCTCAAGCAGAAAGAGAACTGACATACATACACACACATACCCTCACACACATAAAAACACACATATGCATACCAAGATATGTGATATTCATATTGATAAAATTCAGTGATAGAGAAAAATATCTGAAAAACAACAAGAGAAAAAAAAGATATTGTATGCAGAGGAAAAATATACAAATGAGATCAGACTTCCTGTCAGAATCTATGGAAACAAGACAATAACAGAGTGAAATCTTTAGAAGTCTGAAGAAAATAAAACTAGTCAACAGAAAATTCTATGCACAGCAGAAAACTAGTTCAAACAAAAGGTGAAATAAAGACATTTTCAGACAAATAAAAGTTAAACAAAGACTTTAGTAGCAAATTGAAGTATAGGAAATGTTTAAAAATTGTTTCCAGGTAGAAGGAAAATAATACCATGTGGAAATGTAGATTATTACAAAGACTGAGTAAACTCTAGTATATGAATAAATACAAAATATTTTTTCTTAATTTTAATCCCCATAAAAATATTTGACTTTGTCAGTGAAAAATGATATGAACAGTTAATTTTGAGTCTTATAAAAATGTGAAAGAAATATCTATGATGATGATAACACAAAGGATGTGAGAAAAAAATGAAAGTATATTGTTTTGAAATTCCCACACTAAATGAAATGGTAGCACCAGTTGTTGGTAGGTGGTTAGAGTGACTGGATCCCACCTGGCCAACTGCATAATTCTGGACCTAGCAGCTTAGAACATGCTAAGCATGCCCAAAATCCTGAGAGGAGAAAGAAGAAGGGACCTAGACCTAAGCTGGCCCATTTCCCATGGTGAGTGCTTTCCCACTTTCTCTCTCTCTCTCTCTCTGTTTCTCT